ATCGCTCCACGCCACACTTAGGCATTTCCAGAAGAGGGGAAGGCAGTCTCCGCACTCCGAGAGGTGGGAGCTCTGGTCCGGTCTGCTCTCTCCAGGTCCCCCGCTCACCAGTTCAGTCCCTGATTTGGAACTCTGGCCAGCATTAGTCACCCTAGGGAAGGTGGGAAAATGAGGAATTGTACAATGGCAAGGGGAAGCCTCAGGCCACAGAAAAAAAAAAAAAAAATCTGATTAAAAAATGGGCAAAGGACCTGAATAGACATTTCTCCAAAGAAGACATCCGGATAGCCAATAGACATGTGAAAACATTGCTAGTCGTCAAGGAAACACAAATTAAAACCACAATGAGATATGACCTCACACCTGCCGGAACGGCCATTATCAATAAATCGACAAACGGGAAGAGTCGGTGAGGACGCGGAGAAAAGGGGACGCTCGTGCACTGTGGTGGGACAGCCACCATGAAACACAGCATGGAGGCCCCTTGAAAATCAAAAACAAGCCTGCTCCATGATCCAGCAATTCCGGGTATTCATCCAACTCCCCCCAATGCTAATTCAAACGCACCCCTCTGCTCGCCGCAGCGTTACTAGCAGTAATAGCAAAGATACGGACGTAACCTAGAAGTCCTTCGATAGACGAATAAAGGAGTAGAACATGTACGCAATGGAATGTTCCTCAGCCATATGACATGAAATCTTGCCATCTGTGATGACATGGACAGACCTATAGGGTATGAGGCTAAGTGACATAAGGCAGAAACAAATGTGGGATCTAAAAAGCAAATGAATAAACAAAACAGAAATAGAGCCAAAGATACAGAGAACAAGCTGATGCCAAAGCGGGGAGAATACACACACACACACACACACACACACACACACGTACATACATGCATGCATGCACATACATACATGCACGCACACACACATGCATGCACACACATGCACACGTGCATGCGCACACGCACATGCACGGAACTCTGGCTTCCGTACGTTTATTGATCTTTTCTCATCAGTCAGTCACTCCATCCGGGTGGAGGGTCACTGTCATCTCCCTCGTCTGCGCTGTTCTTACACATCTTAGAAAGGGGGTCTCACCAAGTCCGGTCAATCGAATGCTGAATTTCTCGCACAGACTAGACAGGGAAGGCGTTTTAAAGGCACGTTTTCCAGAGGCGGGCGGGGCGCCACTTGGAAACGAAAGCACCAGGAGGGTCGTCTGAGGGGAAAGGAGGCGGGCCTTGGGCTCAGACCCTTCGGCAGACGGTATCGCCCAGCTAGAGTTAATGGCTCGTTTTCATTGCATTTATTTTATGACCTCCAAGTAAGGACAATACTAATTTTCCATTTAAGTAGAATAATAAATGTACTTAAAGAAAAATAGTAAAATTTTCCGTTGGTACTCAGATATGCTAAAAATCGTGACAGTGATAAATGGCTGACTAGAAATTAAGCACCTTTGCTCAAAAAACAGCATTAAAAGGAACCAAGGTTCTCAGTTCTGTACCTGTTTGGGCAAAATCTCACTTGAACTCTATTTTAGAACAAAGCTTGCCCTGTCTGCTCCAACTGCATTTATTACCGGAGGGAACTGCTCCAACTCCAAATTAAAAAACGTTATCAGTGATCAGACACGAAAATCCAGTTATCGGAATCTTTCAAAGTCCAATGACAGCTCAAACGCCTGGCTTTTTAAAGGATCGGCAACATTTCAATATCAGGGCACATTTGGCCTGTGGAGAACTAAGTGGGGTCACTTTGAAAATCCAGGACTAAGGGCCTTATGAGGATACAGGGGAACCAGGCGAGCAGCATTTGAGTGAGTAAAGTGGTCTGGGTTTCAAATTGAACAGAGAAATGTCCTTCTGTCTTTTCTTTACGAGGGGTGAGCACCAGGCAGACTGTCACGTGCCATCCTGGGGGCCCCACTCTGGGAAGTGGAAGGGGAGGAGCCTGTTAGTCTCCCATGGCACCCGTATGCCACCCAGTGTTAAGCACAGAGGGCTGGACGAAGGCGCCAGACCTCTGCTTCGGTCTGCCTGAGAGATTAAGCATCGGTTAAGGTCCTGCCTCTTAGTGACTACGGCATACAGCTTTGTATTCGGCCACAAATGCCCGCAGCCCGAGGAAAGGCCCGCGCCATAACAAAGCCCTGACGCACTAGCTCCAGCTCGTGCACCACAAAGCCTCGGCAAAACTGGTTTTCACAAACCCGGGACTCTTACGAGCAGTGTCTGAGGTCTTCCCCTCGTGCCGGCCCCACGTGGCCCGGGCGGGAGGTGGCCCGTGGGTGAAGGGGGAGCCGCCTGTTCACCGCGGCACCTGATGGTTGTCGGGGGCCAGCCGTTTGGGTTAAGGGCTTCAGCGAGAGGGTGTCCAGGGCCCTGCGGATGGAGGGCTCAGAGGGACCTTTCAGGCCCCGCGTCCCTGCCCGTCGCCAAAGCCACAGGGCCCAGGGTGCCCTCGAATCTACATGCTACGAAAAGCCGAACCAAGTGCTAGGAGCATCTCCTTCACGCTGGTCCGCTCCACAGGGACAGAAGCTGTGTCTGAACGTTCAAAGACAAAACAGAGATTTCACATCAAAGTGACGCCAGCCTTCGGCAGTTCTGTCCACCCACGGCCTCAGAGGTCTCTTTTAAAGACCTCCTGAGCCCTCGACTGCCGCCCGCTGGTGAGGACCACTCTTTAGAGCTGGGGCGGTGACTGCTCCCCAACCCAGCATGCAATGGCACTGAACCTTCTCTTTACGGGAAATATGTACCTTTTTTTCTAATGTAACTGAAGACATGGGAGTCCTTTCTAGAAATTTATTCTAGAGCTGTGCTCTGTGACTCATTATTTGGCCTCTTCTGACGTGGAGGTGGTTTTGGCTGTAGCTAGTCCCTGCCCGGCCCCCGGAAAAATCTAGAACTAAGACCAGACGTTTGTCACTTTTGCCCTCCTCCCCGCCCCGATGACTGAAAACGTGTCCTTTGAGAGCTACCGTATCTCAGTATGAGTCACAGAAATTTTTAGTATTTACATTTTAAATTTCACTTTTCTTAAAAAACGGAGACCTCGCTACATAGCAAATGCTTTACCGGGTCACCGTGTATAACCCGTACCGCTGTTCCTAGTCCATCTTTCAGTTGACGGAACAGCGGTTTAGAGCTAAGCACGTGCCCAGGGGCCCACGGCTCTGTTCAACGCCCTCGGTGCCTTCGCCGCTTAGCAGCTCCAGGAGGGGTGGAGCCGGGCCTTGCTCTTTGCTGGCCAGATGACCCTGACCGAGTCACGTCTCCGTTTCTCAGATTCCACATCTGTAACATAATGCTGCCTATTACAGGGCTGTTGCGAAGATTAAATGAGTTAGAACACGGAGGGCATTTAAGCCAGTGCCCGGCATGCAGTGAACACTACATAATAAGTATCACTCTCATGGCTTCTCCAATATGCTGTGTGCTTGGCCCACTCTGCTGCTGTATGACAATGAGCCAGGGGTTCTGAGCAAGGCCATCACGCTCTGAGAGCCGAGGCTCCACCAGGGGGGGAGCCCACGAATCACAGGGGTGCAGAGGACCCCGGCAGATGAAGACGGAAAGGGACGTGAGAACCAGAGGCAGCACGCGGTCCTCGACGGTTTCCGAGACCAGAAACGGACGTCGTGGGAGAGACCGGGCGAC